AAGGACAATCACAAAAATAAATAAAAATTATATTTAATATTTAAGATTTGTTGATTTTTAAAGAAGTGATTATAGTGTCATGTAAGAGAATGTTCCTATTCTTAGGAGATGAAATCTTAAGTATGGGGGGGGGTCTTGTCTACAACTTACTTTCAAAGAATTTAGCAAACACACATCCATACATACATGTGAAGAAAGACCACAATGTGATTAACCTTCTCTATGGGTCCCTTCTGAGCCTACAGTATAGAAAGGTGTAAGTATAGACTAGAAGTCAGGCTTGAAGCCAGAAAGAGGCTATGTGTTCTTGTTTTATCCATGCCACAGAGGAACTGCCACAGGTGTCATAAAGAGAGTTTATTTTTCTAACAATATTGGGAATTGAATCCTGAGCTACATGCTCAGCCCTTTTTCAAAAATTTTAAGACACAGGGGCTAGGGATTTAGCTCAGTGGCACCATGCCTGCCTCACAAATCCAAGGTCCTGACTTCAATTCCTCAGTACCAAAAAAAATTTTTTGAGACACAGTCTAAATTATTCAGGCTGCAATCTTCCTGCCCCAGCCTCCTAAGTAGATGGGATTATAGGAGTCCACCATTACACTGGCTTTTATGAAGAAATGGATACAAATATTCGTTATCCCATGAAAGAGGAAAGCAAGATTTCTCTGGCTATACAGGGTCTCTTTGGGTTGGGAGGTTATTCCTGGACATGTCACCACATAAGAGGGATCCCAAAGGGAAAAAAAACAACTGAGGCCGGGGATTTAGCTCAGTGGTTTTGCCGCCTGCTGCACAAGAGCAAGGACCCAAGTTCGATCCCCCGTACCAAAAAAAAAAAAAAAACTGAGGGTGGTTTGGGAAAAGAGAAGGGTAATGAAATCATGTCTGCCTGGGACATTTGGAGTTTTGGTAGTGGAATCTTGGTTTCCAGAAAACCCTTTAGTGTGACAACACAAATGGCTGGCCAAGTTACAAGGCAGGGAATGGGACCATCTGTCTAAGACCTGAACTTGAAGAAGAATAATGTCGGCAAGTATCGTCCTTAAAGTTTAGAATCATTTTAGATTGAGAAGCAGAACCCAATTGGACTTCCCCCAACTCCAGAGATACTAGAGATTGACCCTAGGGCCTTTGAACTGAGCTACATCCCTTAGCCATTCTTTTTTTTGGTACCAGGGGTTGAACTTGGGACCTTGCACTTTTGAGGCAGGCAGCATCACCACTGAGCTAAATTCCCGGCCCCTCCTTAGCCATTCTTTATTTTTTTTCAGTACCAGAAATTGAACTCGGGACCTTGCACTTGCAAGGCAGGTGCGGTGCCACTGATCTAAATGCCTGGCCACTTAGCCATTCTTTTATTTTTTTCTCCTTAAATTCTTTTATTGGCACATTTTAGGTATACAATATGTTTATATTTATCATTGGGTGCTTGTACCTCTACATGACGTATCTTGGTTTTTATTTTTTTCCTCATTACCTGTGAGCCCTTCACCCCCTCCAACCTTCCCTATTTACATAGATTTCTTTTTTTTTCTTTTCTCATAATTTTTCCTTTCCCTTCTTTCCTTTCCCCTTCCCTTCCCACCATCCCTACCCCTTTGAACCTTTTCCTGTTTCAAAGTATCAATTATTTGTTATTAATCCTTTTAATCCTTATTTACACTTTCAGTTTCTCACACTAGAGAAACTATGTGGTATTTACACATGTGTGTGCTATTTATTTCACTTAAGAGTATCACCTCAATGTGCATCCATTTAGTTATGACTCTAGTTTCTTGTTCTTTATGGCTGAGTAGTACTCTGTTTTATAAAAAAAAAACCCACATCTGCTTTATCCAGTTTCCAGTTGATGGGCACTTGGGCTGTTTCCAAGCTTTAGCTATTACAAACTGTGCCACTATACACATGGGTGAACATATATCGCTGTCGTATGATTCTTTTAATTCTTTTGGGAAGATACCCAGCAGGGGAATAGCTGGGTCAAATGGGACCGCTAGCCCTAGTTCTTTGAGGTGTCTCCATA